TGAGAAAATGAAAATCATAAGGGTCCCCCTTATGGAAATTTTCGGGCCCCGGCCGATTTCGGGAGGCCCCGGGCCAGGGCCTGCCACACACTACGTCCCTGCCTGTAAAAAAGGCCGATGGACCTCACCTGTCTCCCTCTCTCTCTCTCTCTCTCTCTCTCTCTCTCCTATCTCACTCTCTCTCACTCCTTTCGTCTCGTTGCCCGAAATTTATGGGGATGTCAGAATTATCAGAATCAGAAAAATCAGAATGATCAGAACTAAATTTTATTCAAAACACTTTTTCTAAAAATGTCAATCAAGGTGTATCTAAAAATTCAGATAGTGAAATAACTGATTAAAAAATTCAAGCATGAAATTTTCATACAAAAAGTTGCAAGGTTCGAAATGAACACATTATTCGTCTAGCTTCTCAAAAAGTGCTCGCTACGCGCTTGGAGCAAGAAGTGTTCGGCCATCCGCAGATTCGGCACCGCCACCCTGCGATGGTGGCAGTCGAGGCCGTTCGCCGTATCCAGAATGAACTGGGGCACGTCCTGAAAATCCTTTATGAAAATTCAGGGTTCTTTCGCATTATCGGGGGGTGGTCGAATTTTGGGTATAACTCTACATAGTATCTAGCAAAAAAATGGTATATTGTGAAAATCTGGGCGAAAATCGGCCGTTTTGGTTGAAAAGTCTCTACTTTTTAATCCTGGAATTTTATAGGATTTTTTGTCGATTTTTATATTATTCACTTTTCACGCCAATCCTGGTGCAAATACCTGGAGAATCTTTTGAAAAGTAGAATATAAATAAAAAACGAATTAAAATTTTATAAAAACCCACCCGGCGCATATTGGTCAGTAAATCAGCCAACCAGCGGGCCATCAGCACGAGTCTCCATCTACAATGCCGCTTTACATCCGTCAGGTCATCGACTGAATAAATGTTTTAAAATGTTTAAAATTTCCAAATTTTCTGAATCATTTATAAAAATTTTTTAAATATTGTAAATTCTAAAAAATTTTCATTATAAATTAAGGCGGAAAGTTTTTTAGTGTGAGCAAAATAGAAAAAGTCTAAGAGAGAATTTGGAAAAATAATTGAATCAAAGCCGTTTTGAAAAATAAACAAAATTAAAATTAATTTTTGTGCATTTACAAAAATTTTATTAAAACCTAAATCAAATGCTCGAATTAATTACTTATTTGCGTTTAACCTTAGAAGTTTCAAAACCATAATACTGACGGTGCATAAAATTTTTATCCTTAGATCTCTGCGCCTAAAAACTGTTTTCAATATTAAAAAATATAGAAGCTAAACAACGGAAAATTAAGTAATAGCTTGATTTAAACGGATCCAAATTAACACACAATTTCATTAAAAAAGAATGTAGCGTAAAAATTACCAAAAAACGTAGTGGAACGGCCGGATTTTCCGGCGCGCCCGGTGCGCCCGATCCGCTCGATATACGTGAATTTGTGGTCGCTAAAAGAATGTAAAAACGGTAATTAAATACTGTTATCAACGTTCAAATACAAATACTTTAATTCCAAAACCTACTAAGCAGATGGCAACTCAAAATTGATGACGTGCTGCACGCCGCGTGCCCCAAAATCGAGCCCGTTTGCTGCGGCGTTCGTCGCGATGAGGACGGGGATTCTGGAGAAATAGATTAATTAAACAAGCGTATTATTCATGGTATTTTAGCATATTATATTTTGTTAATTATATTTTTATCTATCGTTATTCAGCTTTATTTATTCAACTGGGAGGAATTTGTCAAGAGGAACCAATGTCTCTCCTTAGTATCAATCCCTGTAATAGTGGAAGACCTTCTAAACAACCTATTACTATTTCTAAACGTAAATTCTTTACAAAACTTTGATTAAAAACATAGGTACGAAAAACAAATGGAATTTTCGATCAAAAAATGGCCGATTTTCGACCAAATTTGGACGCTAATTTTTAAATTTTAAGTTTTTAAGTTTTAAGGCATGTTTTTCTTTATAGCTTTTTTATTTTAATTATATCATGTCATGATAATCACAGTCATGCCTTTAAAAGCTTGCATCCCTCACCTGCCATCCGAGAAATCCTTATAATTCTGGGCTCGATCCAATTCTTCCAGATCACTGTGGAAACATTTATTTTCGAAGCCCATCGCTTTAAGCTGTTCGGATAAGCTGGAGGCATCTGTTTTTCGATTAACAAAAATCAGTGTTTTTGTCAGGAGCCCTTGATCTGGAAAGAAATTACTTGAAAGGGCAGGCTAGCAGAGATTGTTGAGGAAGAGGAGAGGGCAGGCTAGCAGAGATTGTTGAGGAAGAGGAGAGGGCAGGCTAGCAGAGATTGTTGAGGAAGAGGAGAGGGCAGGCTAGCAGAGATTGTTGAGGAAGAGGAGAGGGCAGGCTAGCAGAGATTGTTGAGGAAGAGGAGAGGGCAGGCTAGCAGAGATTCTTGAGAAAATCTCGCGCTTACCATCCTTTTTATGGCCGAGTTCAAAATAGTGGCGCGTCACCGTAGCAGGCTTGCCATTCTGATCAATCACCTCTTCAGTGACCTCGTATTTGGGCGAATCGGCGATAAGTCTACATTCAGTTTTGGAGCATAAGAAATTCCTGACTCAAATTGTTCCCGCAAAATCGCTTCAATGCGATCCAGAATTCCATTACGTCCAATCTCTCGGGCGTCGACAAAATTCTGGAAAAAGTCGATATTTCAAGGCACGAAGGCATGTAACGCAAAGCGGACGCCTCTATTTAGTAAAATCATAATTAATAATACTCTCTATTTCTAATGCTTTAATAGGGTTTGTATAGAATTTTATAACTATTTTGGGCATAATTGACAAATAAAAAGGAGAGAGGTCCTTTCAGTAATATGAATTTTTGCCGATTTGTCCAAAAACATAAAAAATCTAGTTTCTAGTTTTTTATTTATTTCTGAGTATTTTGTTGTCTAAAATCAATGCAACTGAATTGCGTGTTTTATTTAAGTCTTAAAAAGACCTGTTCAATGAGCGGATTAGCTGTCATATCCCGGCCCACAGAGATCGAGAAGACGTCCAGCTGAAACGATGACTAAGCAATTTTTTTACCACTGACCGATTTATTATCGTTAGTTAAAATAACCAAAAACTGCTTTGCCATGAAACATAAAAATTTACATTTTCTGGATCGTTGTCGTTGAGGTGGATTGGGCGATAGCATGAGCCGCCATCCTTTTTATCTGGCCCCACATATTCGAATTCTTCAATCTGGAATGGGTGGTTTTTCTTAAAAACTTCTGATGCCAGCATGTGGAAATTTTACAATGGCAAGATTTCAGAAGGCCGAATTAAGCTTGACGAATTTAGCTCTTGTCGAAAGTTCGTCAGATCGATACTTAAAAATGCCGACAAGTCAAAATTTCGAGATTCCCTCTCTCTCCCACCTCTCCTCTCTTTCTCCACTCTCTCTCTCTCTCTCTCTCTCTCTCTCTCTCTATCTCTCTATCTCTCTCTCTCTATCCCACTCCCATACTCTCTCTCTCTCGCTCTCTCTCTCTCTCTCTCTCTCTCTCTCTCTCTCTCACCGTTAACAATCTCTTCCCAACCCTCCGCAAATTCATGTTCATTGCCGCCGACGTGAGCAGGACTGCGTACGGCCGCTCACTGGCCGGAGCAAAATCTCTGAGTCGGTTTAAAAACCTGGAAAATTGTGTTTAAAATTTGGTCTAATATTTCAAAGAGTTAATTGCTTATGGAGAACTAGCGATCACCGATTTACAAAAGTTTGGAAAAGCGAATGTTTCATCTGTATTTCGAAGATTGGGTGCATCGGCGGTCTTTAGGGTACACTAATAGCTTTCACTTAAATATCAGGTGATTTTGATTGCTGCTTGAATCGTTAAATTGTATTAACATTTACTTAGATCGTTGAATTTTTGAACTTTGTCATTATTGAGGAAAATCGCCTTTAAAAACGGAATTAGCAGAATTTTTAATTCAAGACCTTTTTTGATAATGTTAATTGATTCGTTTTGAATTTAAGATTTTTGGCCTTTAGAATTGATATGTTTCGGTAAAACGAGGGCTTCGATCCGGGTTTAGACTCTGAATCTGCTCTTTCGATGTTTTATAACCCGCTTTTTTTTGAAAAATTGAACCAAACCCAAGAATTTTTTCAGCTACCTGTTAAAGTCGATCGTCGTCGAGGCGGACTTCCAGGAGTCGACAAATTCGTGGAATTCGTCGACTACGAGATATTCCAAGCGACCCGTGTCGAGCAGGTCTCGTTCCATGAAATCCCGGAGTCGCCCGATCGTCGCCACGACAATGTCGATATTCTGGTGGAAAAGCGTAGTGTTTTAACGTGGACGTTTAAGGCATAGTTATGGAGAATTTCATCCAAACGACGGCCAAAATCCCGACAGGCTAAAACCCACGATCGGAAAAATCCCGACAGCGAAAATACCGGGAAGAAAATCCCGAAAGCCAAAATCCCGACCCGTAAAATACGGAAACAACAAAAAAAAATCTCGACGGGCCAAAACTTGCATGTCATGTTGGCTTGTCGGCATTATTGGTTGTCGGGATTTTGGCCTGGCGGTATTTTTACTGTCAGTAAACAGGGTACCGAGAGAATTTTTCTTTAATTTTCAGTTCAAGGAAGATGGCAGGAAAAAAATTGAGTCTGAGGTTAAAGGGATGATGACAGGAAGAATTTTACGGCCGTTTTTAAAGGGGGAATGACACTAGAGCGTGTTTCTCGAGTTTTCAGGAGCTTTTGCTTAAAATGTTGCGACCTTGATTTTAATAATTTAATTGCTTACCTTATCCAGTCGATCGATGCAATTATTCACCAACGTCCCGCCGTAAAGTGCCTCGACGTGCAGCCCGCTACCCGCTGCGAATTTACGACCCTGGAAATGGAAATGACAGTGGGACCTACGTAATTAAATCTGAATCTTGCACGAAACATGGAAGTTTGTCGAAACATAAAATTTTTCGCACGCTGTACAAATTTTTTTCCGCAGTTAGGTAAATCGTGGAAATTCTAATATTATAGTGCCAAGCAGAGATAATTTTCAAATTAAAATGAACGTAAAAAGTAAAATTAATCAATTTTCCAAGAGCTAGGCATTTGCAATTTTGGTTTGGTCGGAATTTCGCAAATTTTGTAGACCATAGAAATGAATCGAACACAATATCTACTCTAAATTACAAAAAAAGGAAAGCCAAATCCTAGCTGCCTTGCCGTCTTATTTAAATAAAAAAAATATTGCACTTTACCATTGATTCGTAAAACGGTAAGTTTCATCAATTTTTCTGCAAAACCAATGTTTCACCTTGGCAGCGCTAGGTCTAAATTGTACTCTCAATATTACGCACTAGGACTTGGTAACCTCGAAAAACAGGCTAATTTTCAAAAACCTCGTTAGCGATCTGCTCGGCCAACTCGTGGATTGAGGCGATGATGATGGCGCGGGGCTGGCAGGCGCGGGGATTTTCTGCCGCTTCGCGGGGAGCTTCCCCGCGTGCCAGCAACTCCAGCAGTCCCAGCACATAAGCGGTAGTTTTGCCTAAAATGATATTTTTAATGACCTGCTTTTCTGGTTCGACCTTTTTCTCAACAATCTCTGCTAGCCTGCCCTCTCCACTTCCACAACAATCTCTGTTAGCCTGCCCTCTCCTCTTCCTCAAGAATCTCAGCTAGCCTGCCCTCTCCACTTCCTCAACAATCTCTGCTAGACTACCCTATCCTCTTCCTCAACAATCTCTGCTAGCCTGCCCTCTCCTCTTCCTCAACAATCTCTGCTAGCCTGCCCTCTCCTCTTCCTCAACAATCTATGCTAGCCTGCCCTCTCCTCTTCCTCAACAATCTCTGCTAGCCTGCCCTCTCCACTTCCTCAACAATCTCTGCTAGCCTGCCCTCTCCACTTCCTCAACAATCTCTGCTAGACTACCCTATCCTCTTCCTCAACAATCTCTGCTAGCCTGCCCTCTCCTCTTCCTCAACAATCTCTGCTAGCCTGCCCTCTCCTCTTCCTCAACAATCTATGCTAGCCTGCCCTCTCCACTTCCTCAACAATCTCTGCTAGCCTGCCCTCTCCTCTTCCTCAACAATCTCTGCTAGCCTGCCCTCTCCCTCTTCCTCAACAATCTCTGCTAGCCTGCCCTCTCCACTTCCTCAGCAATCTCTGCTAGCCTGCCCTCTCCTCTTCTCAACAATCTCTGCTAGCCTGCCCTCTCCTCTTCCTCAACAATCTCTGCTAGCCTGCCCTCTCCTCTTCCTCAACAATCTCTGCTAGCCTGCCCTCTCCTCTTCCTCAACAATCTCTGCTAGCCTGCTAGACTTACCAGCCCCTGTTTGAGAGCTCCAAATCATCGCTTCGTGCATTAATAGACCCGTTTCCGGGTCCATTGCCACCATCTTCGGGATGCCAAAATACTCGATCGGAGTCGGGTGATCGAAACTTGCGTCCCGGATGTTGCTCATCAGAAACGGTTGTAGCTCCAGCTCCTCGAAACTCCTAAAAATCACTGAAAAATCGCTATGTCCTAAATCGAAATGGTTTGTCAAAAATACAAAAATAAATCTATTTTCGACCAAAATTAAGATCCAGATTTTTAGATTAAAAAACTTCTAATTTTTTGAGAGCGTTTTCTTCTTTCAGTAGACTTAAGTATCACTAAGAGCTCTTAAGATCTTAAAATGCACTGCCAGACATTTCTATACAGGTAAAATTCCGTGATCGCCCCCCCCCCCCATTAATGCGAAAGTAACAAAAACCATGTTTCGCAGCAGAAGTATCACATTTTATTGGATCGCCCGTCAATGCATCGAACTTCGAAGCCGAATAGTTATTTTTAAAAGGACTGGCATGGCCGACTACCGATGATCCCTGCTAGATTCTTTTTAAAGAACTT